TTTTTTTGTAATTTTAGTAGAGGCGGGTTTTGCCATGTTGGCTAGGCTGGTCTCGAACTCCTGACCTCAGGTGATCCACCCGCCTCAGCCTCCCAAAGTGCTGAGACGACAGGGGTGAGCCACTGTGCCTGACCCTCTTTAAAAAAAATAGGCCGGGCGCGGTGGCTCACACCTACAATCCCAGCACTTTGGGAGGCTGAGGCGGGTGGATCATGAGGTCAAGAGATCGAGACCATCCTGGTCAACGTGGTGAAACCCCATCTCTACTAAAAATACAAAAATTACCTGGGCATGGTGGCACGTGCCTGTAGTCCCAGCTACTCAGGAGGCTGAGGCAGGAGAATTGCCTGAACCCAGGAGGTAGAGGTTGCGGTGGGCTGAGATCGAGCCATTTCACTCCAGCCTGGGTAACAAGAGCGAAACTCCATCGCAAAAAAAAAAAAAAAAAAAAAAAAAAAAGGAAAAAACCCACGAAGGCAGAAGTGCCTAGGTCCCATGAAATGTGGCTCTGCCAAAAGCCAAGCAAATGAACACAGGAAACTTGAAAGTATAGGTTTCTATTGATTTTATCTCTTTCTCCGAGGTTTTAAAGACTCCCAGGCCCAATTGCTTTGGTGGGGTTTGAGGTTTGGAGTAGCTGGGGTACCCTTGGTAGCCTTAGTAGGGCAGATGCTTTGTCCAAGTTCACACGTAGGCTGGGGGCCCAGTGCTGGGGTGGCATTGGGCTGATTGTGCCAAGGACCATCTCCCCTTCCAGGGCTAACCTCAGGGTCTTGGCTTTTTCTGTTACTTAGAGAAGGACCATTTCATAGCCCAAGCTTGCCAAATCTGGACGGGGCTGCCTTGAGTGGCCTGAGTCACCGGACGTACTGAAGCTTTTCTCATGGGCGAGAGGTTTTCTTTGTGCTCCGTGTGGACTAGGTACCTCTGAAGTTCTTGCCAAAGTCTGAGACATTAGGATTCCGTGAACATTAGACTTAGTGCTATATAATTAGGATGCTAAACCTCAGGATAGAGTAGTGGGGGGAAATCACATGGCAAAAGAAAATATACAATACTTTCCAACATCGAATGCAGATCCTGTTTCTCTTGCTGACTGATTCGACCCATCTGTGACGCTGATCCTTCTCAGGGGCACAATTTCGAGAAAACTCAAGCAAACAGCTCCAAACCACGGCAGCCTTTTCAGACTGGTTTGTGGTCCTCTTTGCTTTCCGGGTTGTGGCGGGGACCTTGGACTCTGGACAGGTTTCTGGACTGTTCCATGCTCTGCGAGCGCTGAGTCTGCATTCTTGACTGCATTGGAGTAGGATGCCAGGTCTCGGAGCTTGTATCTCAAGAGATAAGTCATCAGCTCCAAGGAATGTGAGAGCCAAAGGCAAAGAGAAACACTCTGTACTGTAGTCAATGGAGAGATTCTGCCTGGGGTTGTAGGTAGAGCCCTGGAGAGCAGAAGTAAGTGGCTAACAGGAGATGGAGCCTCAGGGAAGGTCCTTTCTGCAGACCCCTTAGAGGGAGGATATCCCCCCAGGTCCCCAGATATCAGACTGAGGAAAGTGGGCATGTGTTTCCCTGGAGGCTTTCGGGTGAATGGTGCATGCAAAAACCTCAAGTCCGCTGCTGCGCCCAGCCTCAGGGCAACCAGAGCCTCTTTCGTGAAGAAGTCCAGCTTCCCATTAGCTCAGCCCTCCTGCCTTCAGTAAGCCCCGCTGACTTTCAGTTGGCTTGGTCATCAGATAAATGGCTCTGTTGAAGGAGCAGCCTCTCTGTTCTTGCTGAAGACTTTTGTTTTCCTCCAACATGAGCACAACAGGCTGGAGGAAGATGTGCCGTAGGTAGAGTAACCTTGTACCGTATGACTTAAAAAAAAATCACATCAACAAAATCCACTAAAATATGAACAATGGCCGGGCATGGTGGCTCATGCCTGTAATCCTAGCACTTTGGGAGGCTGAGGTGGGTGGATCACCTGAGGTCAGGAGTTCAAAACCAGCCTGGCCATCATGGTGAAACCCCATCTTTTTAAAAAAATTAATTAATTAAAAAGAAAAAAAATATGAACAATGGCTGCCTTTGGGTGATAGACTAAGTGTATGTTATTCTCTCTTTTATATTTCTGGATGCTCTCATTTTTTCTACCATAAACATTCACTTTTTTTTTCTTTTTGAGATGGAGTCTCACTCTTTCACTCAGGCTGGAGTGCAATGGTGGGATCTTGGCTCACTGCAACCTCTGCCTACTAGGTTCAAGCCATTCACCTGCCTCAGCCTCCCAAGTAGCTGGGATTACAGGCGTCTGCCACCACACTCAGCTCGTTTTTGTATTTTTACTAGAGATGGGGTTTCACCATGTTGGCCAGGCTGGTCTCAAACTTCTGACCTCAGGTGATCCACACACCTCGGCCTCCCAAAGTGTTGGGATTACAGGCGTGAGCCACCGCACCTGGCGGCATTCACTATTTTATAATGAACTAAAAGAGCTAAAATAAAGAGAGTAGAATGTTTCACATATCATGGCATTTTGAACAAAAACTATATCTTTTATAATACAGAGACCCACCAAATGGAAAAATGCAGTGAATATTCTCTTGTGGACACCTGTCCCACACTGTTTCCTCCAAGCGAATGGCTGTTACCAAGCTGGTGACAGGTAGAACCCCTCAGTTTTTAGATGGGCTTGCAGGGATTACCCTTGTGAATCATTAAAACACAAGCATCCAATGAGTACTTTCTGACTGCCAGGTCTTCTTCTCTGTGCCTTACACGTGTGTTTCATGCATACAGCCTCCTGAAGCTGGCACCAATACAGCAGTCCTCCTTTATCCATGGTTTCACTTTCTGTAGTTTTAGCTACCTGTGATCAACCATGGTCTAGAATTATTACATGAAAAATTATAGAAATGAATATAAGTTTTTTGTTTTGTTTTTTGAGATGGAGTCTCGTTCTCGTTGCCCAGGCTAGAGTGCAATGGTTCGATCTCAGCTCACTGCAACCTCTGCCTCCTGGGTTCAAATGATTCTCCTGCCTCAGCATCCCGAGTAGCTGGGATTACAGGCAGGTGCCAGCATGCCTAGCAAATTTTATGTATTTTTAGTAGAGATGGGGTTTCACTATGTTGGCCAGGCCGGTTGCGAACTCCTGACCTCAGGCGATCCACCTGCCTCGGCCTTCCAAACTGCTGGGATTACAGGTGTGAGCCACTGTGCCTGGCCGTAAGTTTTAAATTGTGCACATTCTGAGGAGTGTGGTGGAGTCTTGCACTGTCCTGTCCCATCATACCCAGGATGGGTCATCCCTTTGTCTGGTGGGTCCACACTGTATACGCTATCTGCCTGGTAGTCACTTAGTAGCCATTGCATTATCAGATCGATTGTCGAGGTGTAGCAGTGCTTATGTTCCAGTCACACTTATTTTTACTTACTAATGACCCTAACGTGCAAGAGTAGTAATGCTGGCGATTCGAATATGCCAAAGAGAAGCTGAAATACGCTTCCTTTAAGTGAAAGGTGAAAGTTCTTCACTTAATAAGGAAAAAGGGTTGGGCCCAGTGGCTCGCGCCTGTAATTTCAGCGCTTTGGGAGGCTGAGGCAGGTAGATCACTTGAGGTAAGGAGTTCGAGACCAACCTGGCCAACATGGCGAAAACCCATCTCTACTAAAAATACAAAAATTAGCTGGGTATGATGGCATGCACCTGTAGACCCAACTATTTAGGAGGCTGATGCAGGAGAATCGCTTGAACCCTGGAAACAGAGGCTGCAGTGAGCCAAGATTGCACCACTGTATCTCCAGCCTGGGTGACACAGCAAGACTCTATCTCAAAAAAAAAAAAAAAAAAAGAAAAGGAAAAGAAATTATGTGCTTATATGCTGAGGTTGTTAAGATCTGTGGTGAGAATGAATCTTCTATTTTTTTTTCTTTTTTTTTTTTTTTTTTTTTGTTAGAGATGGGGTTTTGCCCTATTGCCCAGGCTGGTCTCAAAATGGCCATTGTTCAGCCATTATTCACATTTTGGTGGATTTTGTTCATGCGAGAACAAAATCAAGTGATATGCCCACCTTGACCTTCCAAAGTGCTAAGATTACAGGCATCAGTCACCAAGAATGAATCTCCTATCATGAAATTGTGAAGAAGGAAAAAGAAATTTGTGCTAGTTTTGGTGTTGCGCCACAAACTGAAAAAGTTATAGCCACAGTTCATGGTAAGTACTTAGTTCAGATGGAAAAGTCATTACATTTGTGAGTGGAAGACATGAACAGAAACGTGTTCTGGCTGGGTGCAGTGGCTCATGCCTGTAATCCCAACATTTTGGGAGGTCGAGGCAGGAGGATCACCTGAAGCCAGGAGTTTGAAACCAGCCTAGGCAACATAGCAAGACCTTGTCTCTACAAAATAAAATTAAAAATAAAACAACAAAGAAATTATGTAAGCATGGTGGTACATCTTGTAGTCCCAGCTCTTTTCTGACTCTTGGAGTCAGAAAAGAATTGCTTCGGCCCAGGATTTCGAGGTTACAGTGAGTTATGATCACATCACTGCACTCCAGCCTGGCTGACAGAGTAAGACTCTATCTCTAAAATATAATGAATAGACATGTCTGATTTATGGTAATCAGATTTGGTACAATCCAAGGTTCTAAGCATTCAGTGGGGCTCTTAGAACTTGTCTCTCTCTGATAAGGGGGGAACTACTATATTATTAAAATATCCTACCCATTTTAAAGAACTGAAAACAGAGGCATTGAGAAGCCAGATATGTGGAAGAGCTGGGATTTGAGCCCAGGCCACACCTGGCTGCAGAGCCTGGGTGCTGAACTGCTGCACCATTCTGCCTCTTGTAGGAGCAGAAATCCAGGTGGAACCTAAAGGAATAAAAGGCAGGTAGAGAAGGTGAGCCAGTGTTGATGCTTGCTCTGGGCTGGTTCAGGTGGGTGTTGACAGAACAGGGTCAGGGAGCAAGTCAGAAGAGCTGGGGCCAACTCAGTCTTTTTATTTCTACAGCGTGCTGGACATTTTTCCGACTGTGGTAGCCCTAGCCCAGGCCAGCTTGCCCCAGGGTCGGCGCTTTGATGGTGTGGATGTCTCCGAGGTGCTCTTTGGCCAGTCACAGCCTGGGCACCGGGTAAGTTGGGGAGGTATGTGCCCACATGAGGCCCTTTAGGAGACTGGGCTGCTGCCTCTCACCTCTGTGCAGACAGAACCATCCTCAGAAGATGCAAGCAAGTGGCTGGTTCCCACTCCATTTCAGATGAGCCTCTTTCTCCCCCCAAACCCCCATCCAGATTTATATTTAACAATTTGGCTTAGGTGGGTGTATATAGGTTCTCATTCCCTATAATGGGCATTTTTTTTTCTGCATGTTTTTAATTTAATGACATAGCTACCCATCATGTTTTGTTAGATGAGATGACTGACTAATGTCTACAACATGTTTATTGTGAGCCTCTTCCTCTAGAATGGAAGCTGCTTGAGGGCAAGAATCTGAGCCATCAAGTTCAGCTCTGAGTTCTCACTGTCTTCACTCAGCCAGCATTCAGTCCATGCAAACTGGATGAACCAATAATGGAACAAACGAACAAATGAGTGAAAGACCATTTGGACAGCAGGTCCAGCAAGGGCTTTACATCCAACATTCCCCTGGCTCCAGAGGGCTCAGCACATGCTCTGCAGCCTGTTGTGGTTTTCTTTTTTTTTTTTTTTGAGACAGAGTCTTGCTCTGATGCCCAGGCTGGAGTGCAGTGGCGTGATCTCAGCTCACTGCAACCTCCACCTCCCAGGCTCAAGGGATTCTCCTGCTTCAGCCTCCTGAGTAGCTGGGATTACAGGCCAATACCACCATGCTTGGCTAACTTTTGTATTTTTAACAGAGATGGGGTTTCACCATGTTGACCAGGCTGGTCTTGAACTCCTGATCTCAAGTGATCCACCCACCTTGGCCTCCCAAAGTGCTGGGATTACAGGTGTGAACCACCATGCCCGAACTGCAGCCTCTTCCTGACCAAGCAGTCTGTGACAATGGCTTTAGGCTTCCACTTACCAGCCTCACCTCCTCAATGTCCCCTCTTTGCACTCTGAAGCACTCATTGGCAGTGACAGCCAGGAAATGTCAGGCCTCATGGCCTTTCCTTGTCATTTCCCTGTGTTTTCCTTTCCCCAAATGGAAGAGGAAGCAGGAAGAGACAAGGAGGCCAAAGGAGCAGTGAGTCCCCTCTGCAACGCCCTGCAAATGCATGCCATTTTAGTGAGGGACCCACACATCAAAGGGTCTATTTATGTCTTTGCTAAGGGTCACATGGAAGTGACTCAAATGTACACAAGTGTCCTGTAGCTGGTAATTACTGAAGCTGTTCTTTCCACCCAGCCTCCCCCAGCAAACCAGAACACGGGTCCTCTGTGGGCCATCGGTGCCTCTGTGCACATGAATGCTGTTTTTAGGCGTTATCAGATGACGCCTGAGAGGTCTTCTGAAGTCCTGCTTCTCCCCAGAATATCTGCCCGCTAGAGCTGCGGACCCTTCCAGGCCTAGCCCTTCTTCCTAAGCAGGAGCAGCAAGCAGGAAGATGGTTTCCGCCTTGAGGTTGGAAGTTAGCAGTATGTGACCCTGGAGGGTTGTCACAGACGTCACTGGAGAGGTGCTCCAGAGTGTTTATTACCATGGCTGCTAGGAATAATTGGGGTCACCAGGAAGTGCTTCAAGGACTGTGGTCTCCTTGACGTTGTTGGTACTGCCTGTGGAAGCCAGCTCCTTCATGTGCTAACTTCCTTTCTCAGACGGGAGAGCTCTGCTCTTTCTCTAACTATAGTTTTGCGCAGGCTCACAGAGACCCCAGCGTAACTAGCGCCCAGCAGGGTTAGGCGCAGGAACCAGACTGGGAAACCAGATACAAATCACAGCATCGTCCTGGGGATGTATGATGGTGTGGTTAATGCAGCTGGAGTCAGGACTGACTTGCTCCCTAACCACACCCCATGGCCCAGAAAGAAACAGCCACACTTACTGCTTGTGGGAAGCAGCTGATGGTATCGTCAAGGTTAAGAGCACATGGGGCTGGCAGGCTGCCTCCCACAGCATGCCTGCAGGGTCAGTGAAGACACCTGAGAGAAGACTCTGAAGTTTGAGGACAACGTGGGTAGTTGCTGGACCTGAATTTCGGTTTGGTCTTCTCTGGTCAGTCCTCTCTATTGAAGCAGAGTAATAGGCCTAAAGAAATAAGAGGAAATTGTCTCAAATTTGGGGTAGCTATGGGGGAGGCCAGAAGGTAAGAATATGAGGAATGATATACACACACAAACATGCTATACATACATACATGTATACATACACACATGTGCAGACATATGTGTGGATGTGTCTGTACATGTGCATCATACATATGCATGCATATTCTAGACATGTGTATGCATATGCAGGTTTTATTTTATTTTATTTTTTTGTGATGGAGTCTCACTCTGTCTCCCAGGCTAGAGTGCAGTGGCACGATCTTGGCTCACTGCAACCTCCACCTCCTGGGTTCAAGCGATTTTCCTGCCTCAGCCTCCTGAGTAGCTGGGATTACAGGCATGGTGCCACTATGCCCAGTTAATTTTTGTGTTTTTAGTAGAGACAGGGTTTCACCATGTTGGCCAGGCTGGTCTCAAACTCCTGACCTTAGGTAATCTGCCCACCTCAGCCTCCCAAAGTGCTGGGATTACAGGTGTGAGCCACCGTGCCCAGCCTGCATATGTATGTTTGTATATCATGCACATATACGCATGTATACACATGTATGCAGATACACATGTTGGTGTACATGCATGTATAAATATGTATACATATGTGTGATTATACATGCATACATAAGTTTGCATATGCATGTGTCTATATACCTAAACATATATACATGTTTATGTTTATGTTCAAACACTATACATGTGTACATATGTATGCATATGCATGTTTATGCACATATATGTATACACTTGTATGCACACATATACATATGTATATGTCCAGACATATTCATAGAGATATATGCATATATTTATGTGCATGCCTATGCACATGTATACATATGTATATGCATGCATATGTCTGCATACATGCAAACATACACAGATGCGTATGTCTATACACACATGCATATGTGTATACATACGTACTTTTAAATAAGCACAATTTGTGTTCACTCTCAGATACATCCTGGGCTTACAAGGATTCCAACATGAGTTAGTTTAGGAACAGTTTCAGTTCTAGAAGTTCAAAGTAACTCCTGGCTATTCAGCTGAAAACAATATGTCAGTGCATCTTAGCAATTGGGTTCTTCCCTATTGCAAACCAAGTAGCCAAGAGTTAAGCAGAGAAGCAAGAGAGTTGAGAGGCGTTGCGCACGTAATGAGCTACGAGTTCCCACTGGATGGTGTTCTCACAACCCACTTCATCAACCTCTAGGGACATTGTGTCTGTGATGTTCAAAACCACGGCAGCTGACACCATGCTGCGTGTTCTTGCATCAGCCCAACCTCCTGCGTCTGATCTTGATGCGTCTGCGTCAAGGCAGTGAAGGTCACCAGGAGAGAGATGAGGTCTGCACAGCCGAGAACCAAATGTTCCACTTTATGCTTTCTGGACTCCCACATGGCAGCATCACCAATGCTCAGGTTGTACCTTAGCCCCAGGTTGTTATGATCAGGTCCAGAAATTGTCCATGAAGGAACGTTTTCCCCAATAGCTCTGCATCTGCCTAGCCCAACACTGTGTGGGGCTGCTGTGGCTCATCAAATGCTTGGCACACCCCTGGAGGCCGTACATTGAGGAAACGAGCTGCCTTGTAACGTCCAGAATGCGGATCGCTTCTCTTAGGGAGGCCCCTAGTGGCGAGAGACATCTGGAGTGGGTGGCAAACTACTGACCACCCCGTCTGCACCCTTTAGGGGCTGTGCATCCCTACCTGAATGGTGAAGAAGCCCACCTTCGGGGGATGCTATATCAGCACCCTCTAGGACCTAAAGTAAGGGAACACTTGTGCTTAAAAAAAACACAAGAAGATAAAATAGAGCAAGAATGGCAACCAGGAAGGCAAAACAAGTTTGCATAAGATAAAGTCATCTTTGAAATTTGAACCAGGCATCTGGAGAACTGTGATTCATATGTACTTTTGACAACTTCCATCCTATATTGATGTAAACAAGAAAGCCATAATGGGTCTGCTCAAACTAAAAAAAAAATGCATAGACAAGTTGTCCAAAGTCCATCTATGTTTCTGAGAATGAACCATCCCACGGTGTTGCTTCCTCTTGGATTTTGGAAGTTGCCTCTGGTAATGCCACATAAATAGTGGGAACAGAGCAGCCCACCCTCATGGAGTTTCTGTGATTGCGACCCAAGTACTATGAATGACCTGAAGCAGCAAGCCTTCACTCCCATCTTCTGCGTGTCCGAGTGCATCGTCTATCAATTGACAATAGATTTTCCAAGTCTCCCACTTTCTGCTGTCTCAAGAAGGAAACGAAACAGTCTCCTGTGGTGAAGAGGCTTGGCTTTCTGCGGGGATGGAAGAAGTGAGGGTTTTCAGTTACGACTTCTTTTCCTGTTTGGAAGGAACCTGCTGTCATCACGCGCGCCCTGGGTATTTGTAGGGATTGTCATGAGAACCTGGAAGCAGCAGGTGTGGGGAGGAGACCCACCTCGGCGGCATCCTCTCAGAGTTGTGAAACTCGGGGGGTACAGCTGTTTACTGCTCCAACAGATGTTTCTCATTTTTCTTTAAAGTCCCGTGGAAACTTTGAATCATGTAAGTGCCTTTCCAGCCATATATATGGTTGTGATTCATACCAAGGCAATGTCATGCTTTTAGCCCAGACCCAGCAACCTACCAAGGACGCTGGCCTTTTATTTTCTTTCACATCCTTCCCTTGAGAACCCTGAATTAGGTGTTTCCATTCTGTAGGGTAATTCTTTTATCTGTGACCTGATGAGGAAAGATTTCCTCAGTCCAAATATAGTCAGATTGAGTCATAGCTGTGGGCGTCTGTGTCCAGAGGCTGGGCTGTGCCTGGTTCTGGGGAAATCAAGGATGCCACATTTTGTACCATCCCTGCTCAAGAGAGAGTTGGAAAATTGACTTGATGCTAAAGAAGCCTTTTTTCCAAGAGATTTAAGGGTCACCTGCATCAGAATCCCTGGAAATATTTGTAAAACAAGTAAGTCCCCAAGGCCCATCCTGACCCTGAGGGGTTGGAACTCAGGCAGGGTGGTCTTGTAGGTCTGTGACCTGTGCACCACACAGAGCCGCGCACTTGTAGAGGCTCTGTGCTTGGTTTTAAGCTCTGCCATAGTCATCGTGAAATTTTAAGTTTGTGTATAAGGTATCCCAGATTTGCATTTTGCAGTGGACTTTGTAAATTACATAGCAGGTTTCAGGCCTAGGAATCTGACCTACCTAGTGAGACCTTTTGCCTACTCTTCCAGAGTTGTAACCCACTCCCATCAATTAACCAGCAAAATAACTTCACAGGCTCCCTGGGGTTGGCTGGTGTGGACTCCAGGCTTGTGTCTGTCAGTGTGTGTTGGGGTGCAGGCATAGGGAAAGCAGACCCTAAAAAAGGCAGTAATATTTTCCAGGGAGCATCCAGTATCATCTAGCATGTTTTATTTTATTTTATTTTATTTATTTATTTTTTTGAGACAGGGTCTCACTCTGTCATCCAGCCTGGAGTGCAGCGGTATGATCATAGCTCACTGTAGCCTTAACCTCCCAGGCTCCAGCAATCCTCTCACCTCAGCCTCCGAGTAGCTGGAACCACAGGTGTGCACTACAATACCTGGTTAATTTTTGTCTTTTTTTGTAGAGAAGGGCCTTGCTGTGTTGCCCAGGTTGGTTTCAAACTCCTGGGCTCAAGCGATCCTCCTACCTTGACCTCCCAAGGTGTTGGGATTACAGGTGTGAGCCACCGAGCTCCCCCAATTTTTCTATTAGTAAGCTCTGCCACTCTTTCCCAGGTGCTGTTCCACCCCAACAGTGGGGCAGCTGGAGAGTTTGGAGTCCTGCAGACTGTCCGCCTGGAGCGTTACAAGGCCTTCTACATTACCGGTGAGTGAGGGGCCACCTAGCCCTGCCTCCCATGTGCACACCTGCACGGGGACCCTGCGGACTCTCACCCAGGCCTCTGGGAGTGAGTGTGAGCTGCCCTCCTTTCGGGGGGTTCCCAGCACCTCTTGACAGTGTCTCCCCCAAACCCAGGGTCCCTGCACAGACTCTCTGGATCCCCCATATGCAAATAAGGTCTTTGTGCTGTTCTCCTGACTCTCTAGGGAGCTGGGAGCTCTCAACACATTTATTTAGCTCCTTTTCACCCAGAGTGTTTCCCATTATTATACTTTAAATGCCAGTTTGGATGAACATTAAATGGAAGCCTAGAGATATTTTAAAGTATAATTTACTTGACAATAGACTGTTTCAGAAAACAGACTTTAGAGGACTAGTTAGCAAACCGACAGAATTCTCTCTGCTTCTTGGTTCACTGTGACTATCCATCTCTTAGATGTATATCTTAGAAGTGTCACACTGGATCAGGATGGTCCTCAGGGTCCTCCGATGGCGTCTTGCTGCCAACTGAATTCACACTCTGACTCCTGAGTCCTTCTGTCTTTCCAGCCTTAGTTTTCCGCAAACAAGTCTCCTCTTCCTTGGTCTCCATGTTTAAATCCCCTTCAGCTTTTTTTTTTATTAAAGATGGAATCTTGCTGTGTCGCCAGGCTGGAGTGCAATGGTGCAATCTCGGCTCACTGCAACCTCCGCCTCCCGATTCAAGGAATTCCTCTGCCTCAGCCTCCTGAGTAGCTGAAATCACAGGCGTGCACCACCATGCCCAGATAATTTTTCATATTTTAGTAGAGAGGGGGTTTCACCATGTTGGCCAGAATCGTCTTGAACTCCTGGCCTCATGATCTACCCGCCTCAGCCTCCCAAAGTGGTGGGATTACAGGCATGAGCCACCGCGCCCAGCCCACTTTCAGCTTTTAAGACCCAAGTCAAATGTCACTTTCACAAAATTCTCTCTTGTCTTCCCAGCTGGCTAGGAATCCTGGGGAACTCTGTTATCTCACTTTCTGCTACGCACGCCAGTCATTTAGATACATGTTTTATCTCCTGTACTAGTTTTAAGCTTTCCAAATTCAGAACTCTTTCAGTGCTTTAATCTTTGTTGTCTTGAAGTGCTTAGCTACATTTTTTTTTTTTAATGAATGAAAAACAAAAACTAAAAAAAGGAAAACCTGTGACCTAATGCAGATTCCAACTTGATTCAGTTATTTCATGTTGGAGCTTTTCAAAGAATTAGATAATAAAAAAATTATTTTCTCTGTGTGTAAATAAGAGATCCAGAAGAAAACGTGGCATAAAATTTTACATAACATGACTTGAAGGGTATTAAAAATGTCACAAAAATCTTTGATTCTCTAAAACCTAAAACTCAAAACAGTCAGATATTTGTTATGTTTTCAGATGAAAAGTTTCTAGATTAGAATCCTTATATTACATTATGTAAGAGGTATGGGACTTCCAGGCTGAGTTAATTTCACAAGGAATAGTCCTGCCAGAAGGCCCTTGGCAGCACAATGTTGGAATCATACACGTTACTATGGAGTAATAGGGCTGTTTAAAATGATCACAATCAGATAGGAATTATAGCACCCAAGGGAGATCTGCTCTTCTAAGGAGTCACCAAACTCCCAAGAGAGTCTGGATAGGGAGCACTAAACTTTTAATCCATCAGTGAAAACTGGGAATAGGACAAAACAGCAGTATGTTCTGATTCCCCCTTCTTCTTGCTTCTAACATTTACATACCAGTTACTCATAACTGCTTTTGAATAAGCTAGATGAATTGACATCTACCACATTAGATTAGAGAAAGATGTGTGCTTCTTGACGAGGATATCATGTTACGGTCACACACTGGGAGTGGCCTTAGAAAGACAACCAGTCTGTTTTGGCAAGTGGCCTAGAATTAAGATACCTTATTGTTTTTCATTTTAAAAAGCAGATAAGGCAGCTGTGATGGCTCACGCCTATAATCTCAGCACTCTGGGAGATTAAGGTGAGTGGATCTCTGAGGTTAGGAGTTCGAGACCAGCCTGGCCAACATGGTAAAACTTCATCTCTACTAAAAATAAAAAATTAGTCAGGTGTGGTGGCACATGCCTATAGTCTTAGCTACTCAGGATGCTGAGGCAGGAGAATCGTTTGAGCCCCAGAGGCAGAGGTTGCAGTGAGCCAAGATTGTATCACTGCACACTGCACTCCAGCCTGGGCAACAGAGTAAGACTCCGTCTCCCAAAAAAAAAAAAAAAAAAAAAAAAAAAGCAGTTAAGGCAACCTGTACACATAGTGAGAGGCCCCAGATATAAAATGTATAATTTGGTGAGGTTTTATAAGTGTAGATACCTGTTTATGTACTCTTTTAATGGTGTGAGTTCCGTTGCTTATTTTTGTCTTTTTCTTTTTCTATTGATTGATTTTCAACTGTTAAGCCAACTTTGCATTTCTGGATAAATCCCATTTAGTCATGATGTATTGTACTTTTTATCTCTTGCTGGATTTGATTTGCTAAGACTTTATCTATAATTTTCCTTTCTTGTCTGTGTCAAGGTTTGGGATCAGGATTTTCCTGGCCTTATAAAACGAGTTCAAAAATATTCCCTTCTCTGTTTTCTGAAAGGGTTTGTGTAAGATCAGTATTATTTCTTTCATGTTTGATTGAATTCATCTGTGAAATGATTTGCCAGACTCAGTGTTGTGAAGATTTTGTCTTATTTTTAAAAAGAGTGTTAGTATTTTAGGTCTTATATTTAGATCTCAGATCCATTTCCAGTTAATTTTGGTATGTGGCATAAGGGAAGGGTCCAGCTTCATTGTTTTACATGTTGACACCTAGTTTTCCCAGCACCTTCTGTTTGTTGAAAGACTGTGGCACCCTTGTTAAAAATCATTTGATCATACATGTGAGGGATAATTTCCACTGTCTCTTCTTTTCCATTAGTTGTATGTCTATCCTTCTGCCAGTACCACACTGTTTTGATTACTGTAGACTTGTTGTAGTTTCGAAATCAGGAAGTGGGAGTCCTCCAGTTTTGGGCCTTTTTTGTTTTTTTTTTCAAGACTGTTTTGACTATTATGGGTCCTTTGAGATTCCATGTGAATTTTAGGATGGATTTTTCTATTTCTGCAAAAAAACATCATTGGGATTTTGATAAGGATTGTACTGAACCTGTAGATTACTTTGGGTAGTGTTGACATTTTAACAATATAAGTCTTTCAATCCATGAACATGGGATGTAACCATTTATTTATGTCTTCCTTAATTTCTTTCAGCTATATTTTATGGTTTTCATTATATAAGACTTTCATTTTTTGTGTTAATTTCTGTTTTATTCTTTTTGGTGCCATTGTAAATGAAATTGTTTTTGCAATTTTCTTTTTCAGATTGTTCACTATTAGTGTGTAGAAATCTAACTGTTTTTGTGTTTTGAATTTCAATCCTGCTATTTTGCTGAGTTCCTTTATTAGTTTTGCTTTTATGTGGAATCTTTAGGTTTTCTTCATATAAGATTATATCATCTCTGAAGGAGGTCATTTTACTTCTTCCATTCCAATTTGGATGCTTTTTTTCCTTTTGCTTGCCTAATTGCTCTGGCAGGAATGTCCAGTACTATGTGGAACAGAAGTGGCAAAAATGGCATTGAAACTTTTATTAATATGTTATGTTCTTCTCTTTGTCTCTTATAACCTTTTAAAAATTTAATGTCTATTTTGTATGATAACTAGGATAGCCACTTTTGCTGTCTTTTGATTATTATTTGCATGGAAAATCTTTTTCTACTGTTTCACATTATTTATTTATTTTTCCATGGGTTATTGGGGTACACATGGTGTTCGGTTACATGAGTTAGTTCTTTAGTGGTGATTTGTGAAAATTTGTTGCACCCATCACCCAAGCAGCATGCACTGCACCCTATTTGTAGTCTTTCATCCTTTGCCCCCTTCCCACCCTACCACCAAATCCTCAAAGTCCATTATGTCATTCTTATGCTTTTGCATCCTCCTCATAGCTTAGCTCTCACATATCATTAAGAATATACGATGTTTAGTTTTCTATTCCTGAGTTACTTCACTTCGAATCATAGTCTCCAGTCTCATCCAGGTTGCTTCAAATGCTGTTGATTCACTCCTTTTTATGGCTGAGTAGTATTCCATTGTATATATATACCACAGTTTCTTTATCCACCCTGTTGATTGATGAGCACTTGGGTTGGTTCCACGATTTTGCAGTTGCAAATTGTGCTGCTATAAATATGTGTGTGCAAGTATGGTTTTTGTATAATGAATTCTTTTCCTCTGGGTAGATACCCAGTAGTGGGATTGCTGGATCAAATAGTAGTTCTACTTTTAGTTCTTTAAGGAATCTCCACACTGTTTTCCATAGTGGCTGTACTAGTTTACATTCCCACCAGCAGTGTAGAAGTGTTCCCTGTTCACTGCATCCATGCCAACGTCTACTGTGTTTTGGTTTTTTGATTATGACCATCCTTGCAGGAGTGAGGTGGTATCACATTGTGGTTTTGATTTGCATTTCCCTGATCATTAGTGATGTTGAGCATCTTTTCATGTTTCTTGTCCATTTGTATGTCTTCTTTTGGTGATTGTCTGTTCACGTGCTTAGCCTACTTTTTGATGGGATTGTTTTTTTCTTGCTGATTTGTTTGAGTTCATTGTAGGTTCTGGATATTAGTCCTTTGTCAGATGTGTAGATTGTGAAGATTTTCTCCCACTCTGTGGACTGTTTACTCTGCTGACTGTTCCTTTTGCCATGCAAAAGCCCTTTGGTTTAATTAAGTTCCAGCTATTTATCTTTGCTCTTATTGCATTTGCTTTTGGGTTCTTGTTCATGAAATCCTTGCCTAAGGCAATTCCTAGAAGTGTTTTTCCAATATGATCTTCTAGAATTTTTATAGTTTCAGATCTTGGATTTAAGTTCTTAATCAATCTTGGTTGATTTTTGTATAAGGTGAGAGATGAGGATTCAGTTTCATT